AATTGTACTCTATTCTTTCTCATCTTACCTGGATATATATATATATATATATATATATATATATATATATATATAAAAAAAAGAAAGAAAAAAAATATATAATCCGTTGTTCTTATTGGTATTTTTATTTTTAAAAAAGCAGTGCTGAATGTATTCTAACCCAAACATCCCTTTTAGAAAGAATCTTTATGTTTACAAGTACGACTTTAACGAAAAAACGTTTTCTCGTTGATAAAAATAAACAGACGACATGCGTTGAACGGATGTCAAAAATCCGTTGAAAAATGAACTCCTAGCCTAGCTAGACTTAACCTCTCTTTCGAATGTAACTCATAATTGATACAATAATCTTTATCTATAAAAGGCAGGATGTGTGTATGTAACGAATGCGTGGCCGCAATTTTCGACAGATTTACACTAAAATTTACATGTACATGCTCCAAGTTAGCGGAAAGGACAAGACTGACATTGCATTTCTCAACTCCCATTGATAGTGGAAATAATCGATTTTTTCATGATTCTACGGCAGTTTTCATGTAGTTTGCGGCCATTTTTTACTGGCCAGAATGAGAGCGAATAGCTGGCTGTCACGACTAGGCAGGAAGATTCTATTGGCCAGCGTGAGAGCCAACAGCTGACTGATACGAATGTTAACTAGCATGCTAGCATGCTAAAAAATCGGTAGCTGCATTCCTCACAAGTGGGAAAAATTTAAATCTGCATGGCACTTTACTCCAATTGGTTCATTCGCTTGCTTGAACTCAACGTTGATTCTGATTCTGCAGAACTGGGTTGGGTGTGAAAAAGTATTTGTTGTTAACATTCTTTTTTCATTCGGTTTTTCCAGTTACGAGTCCTTTTTTTTAAGCTGATCGTTTTGTGTTCATTTTGTTTAGTTCTTTTTTCGTAACAGATTTAATGTTTAGTATAGGGCTTAGAAAAAATTAGCAGTATGAGATAAGCAAGCAGTAAGGCATGTAGCAACATCAGCACGGCAAAGGGCAATCCTTTAAAGGCAAGGAAGGGCAAAAATATTTTAAGTCAAGTGATAGCGATTGCTGTATGTGTCGTAAGATTTTTGAATCAAGCACGGTCAACGCCGGGCCATGCTGCTAGTAGTTAATAAAAATGAACACGCTACCGCATCTGTCTAAATTATTGGATTTTTCTGTATCCTTGAAAACATAAAATTATGAATTGTATATGCGTTTAAAACTCAGTAAATATAAAAATATGTTATTCCAAAATTCGCTTGTAGGATGAATCAGAACTAATGCTTTTAATTTAATTATATAATTAAATTTGAAGTATTTGCTTCCGTTTTTGAAGCATGGTAAATTCCTGTGTAGCGAAGGAACCATATTTTTAAAATCAGTTAATTTTTATATATATATATATATATATATATATATATATATATATATATATATATAGTCATGTCATCGCAAGTATTAATTTTAATAAAATGAATGTAACTCATCTGACAAAGTTTATTCATTTTTAAAAATATTTTTCGAATTAGTTAAATATCCGGATCAAAATTCAAATTAAAATTCAAATTGAAGTAAACTATCCAAAGTTCATGTTTTTTCCTGATTTTGTTCGATGATTTTCGACCGTCTCAGAGTCCTCCAGTAATAATTTGAAGAATCAGAGCTTGTCAATTGAAATTAATACAATATTTTGATAGATTAAAACCAAGTAATCAATATAGAAAGAGTGCCAAAATCAATCCGACTATTAGGAAGCCTGCCAAAAATCAAAAAAAAAAAAGTAATAAAAGCGAACCCCCCAAAAAAAAAAAAAGTAAACACTCACAGTCTCCCTGCATTGATCATAATGTCTGTTGAAATCAAACTAAGACAGGAGGTGTGTAGACAACAAATACTTAAAAAGCTCTCATAGACTTCAATCTAAAAACGTGGCTTCAAGTTTCACATGAAAGTAATCTCCAGACGATTAAGCTCAAATGAGAACTAGCTTTAAACAACCTTATATAATCAAACTTGGAAAAGCATGGAATATATATATATATATATATATATATATATATATATATATATATATATATATATATATATATATGTATGAGTAAAGAGTGATAGATAGATAAATAGATAGATAGATACTTATGAACAACGTGACAGAGAGATAGGAATAGAGTGATAGAGAGCTAAGTCTGTAGATATGAACAGTGATAAGCTAACTAGCTCGCAAGCTAGCTAGATAGATATGAACAGTCTGATAGGTAGATAGATAGAGATAGAGAGTGTGAGAGAGAGAGAGCTAATATATAGATAGATAGATAGATAGATAGATAGATAGATAGATAGATAGATAGATACAGAGATACAGAGATACAGAGATAGATAGATACATAGATATGGACAGTGTGATAGATAGATAGGAATAGGAGCGAAATAAAGAGTTCAGTTCGACATTCCAACCACCTGAAAAAGGCCGGAGGGTACAATGGCCGAAATGTTGTATGAGAAGATGAGAACAATAGTCAAAATAATGTAAATTGGGTCCAAAATATCTCATGTCAGAAATATAGACAAAAACTCTGTTTCGTTTAATTTCGAAAACCAATCGACGAAATTTGTATAAACTGGAAAAATACTTTGACAGAAACCTTGGGTTTAATAATTTCTTTAATTTAATTTTATGGGACTTCCTGGTAAACAATATTAAATTAAATGTTAAATGAACGCCATGGTCTTTGGAGGCTTGTTTAGAGACCAAGTTAATGGCCTTTTAAGGTTTCTTCACGTGAATTGCAGTAAAACTTTTGAATATGAAAGAATTAAATATTACAGGGGCGGGGTTAGCAGAATTTTAGAAATACTAAAGTGGGGCATGACCCGAAATTGGTTGGAAACCATTTGTCAAGAGATTTTAACACCAGCATAGAGATTTGAAATATTTGAGTAACAGATCACTCGGGCGCCATCGGTGTCATCATTCACTAGTTTCCCATCATGCAATGAAAGCTGCCTTGATTAAATTAAAGGAACTCTCAACACAACAATGGAGTGATTTACACTGGAACATCCCCAGACACACGTGGATAATTTACTATTATATATATATATATATACTTATATGTATATATATATATATGATCGAAATAAAGTAAAAAAATATTACAAGACATATTAAAACAATATTAAATAATAAAAAAACAACAAAAAGAAGCAACCGGTTTCGCTCCTCTCGGAGATTACGGGAAAATTAAAACAGAAATGTACAATAAGAATAGGTGGAAAAAAAAAATTCTATTGTACATTTCTCTGTTTTAATTTTGAATCTCCCGTGGAAGCCTGAATAGCAGGATCGAAACCGGTTGCTTCACACACACCCCTTGTTGTTGTTTTTTTTTATTATTTAATATTGTTTTAATATGTCTTGTAATATTAAATTTTATACTTTTATTTCGATCATTAAATTTTGTATCTACGAAAATATATATATATTTGAATTCTCTCTAAATTTTTAAGATTTCCCTCTTATTATCCGTTTCTAAGATATGGGTAATTTCCCCCTTTTTTTATCTCTTTATTTTCCCGCTCTTTCTATCTTTCTCCTTTTAGCCATTTCTATTTCTATAATCTACTACTATTGACAGTTTTAAGAATCCTGTGACGATTATGTCAAGCATGAAACAGCCTGTCGTCGCTGAGTGTTGACTTCAGTGTTCACGTTTATATTTATATTTACATACGCTCTATCTCTGATATTGAGCACTTTATCCCATAAATATAGCACACCTTAAAACTATATTTCTTCATGCATACATACATACATACACACACACACACACACACACATAGATTTATATATATATATATATATATATATATACAAAACTATGTTATAAATTTTAAATATATATATATACAAATATATATATATATATATATTTACAAAACTATGTTATAAATTTTTAAAAAAATATATATATATATATATATATACACAAAACTATGTTATAAATTTTTTTAAATATATATATATATATATATATATATATATATACAAAACTATGTTATAATTTTTTTATATAAAAGTAATTATATATATATATATATATATATATATATATATATATATATATATATATGTTCAGGCATTCGGTTGTCTAGTCAAACCGAGGAGCTGTGATACAGCGAAACAGTACTGTCAGTGAATGACACACACACACACACACACATATATATATATATATATATATATATATATTTGAATTCTCTCTAAATCCCTCTAATTATCCGTTTGTAAGATATGGGTAATTTAATACACCTTTAATTCTGAATTATCTCTCATTTCATTGAATTTACCTCTTATTGTTTATATAATTTAGATTCTTTGCAGTAATATCTGAGAGTTTTTGGGTTGAACCAAACTTCACTCGGATTACGACTATTAAATATGTCGGCCCCTCGTTCTTCCATGTTTCTCTCCACTTCCGCTTTGATCACCACGATACAATGTCTTACATTACCTCCTGAGTCACGTTACTACCTTCCCTCTCTCTTAGCTTTTCCCTTTCTCTACCCCGCTGACAATCTCTCATATTACACTACTTACTACCTCTACTTAAATAGGCATGTAAATACAACAGAATTGACAATAACATGGAGACGCTCCACCTTAAGCAATGTGGGAAATGACACTAGAGTAATCCAGGCACATATTAGTATGAATAAATAATATATTCGCATATATATTTAGATGAATAAATAAATAAAGCATGACTGGCACAAGTGGGCTGTTAAACCCGTTAGCACTGTGGTCACGTGATCCCACATGACTACTTATGTCAGCAGGGGTAGATACAAAAAGATTCTCTTACCTCCCTGTCTCCACACCACAATCCTGGTCATTTTAGAAGTATGGTCGGAAGTAAGAATTAAGGTAAGAATTACTTTTTCAGGGCTTGATTTCTCCCTATTTTTGACATACATACATACACACACATAGAAGTACTGATATATTTTGATATAATGAGTATTAAAATATGGTCAGTATATTTGCTCCTGTTCGTTGTTTCATATTTCAGATCTTCAGTCCTTTAGCTCTTTAAAAAAAACACAAAAAAAAAGCAATGCTCCATCAGACCCTGCAGGTTGGCTTTACAAAATCTAAAAGAGTTTTAACAAAAAAGCAATATCCAAAAAATATTTGCCACCACACAAGTCTACAAAGCTACAAAGACGTAGATGGTTACTGAGTGTGAAAGATTATAAAAAAAGAAAAATAACTTTATTAGAGAGAAAAATAAACAAGAGAAAAGAAGGACGAGAGAAGAAACTATTAGCATAGAACTTGCTGCTAAATCTAATCATTTCAACTGTAAAATGATGAGACCTTGTTGCTAACCTAATACTATACATAAATCCGTAGAGTCGAGATCTCAAAAAGGAAAGCTTATTAGAACAATTACTATTATCCCATTTAAAGAAAACGCACAAACTGAAATACTGTAAAATTTCTCATATCCGAAATTCATCATAAACGGAGTGCCTTATAACCGGAATCCCGCATAATCTGACATGATTTTGATGTGTTTATTTGAACTATTTGGCGGGTATGTAACTGATCTGAAATTTCTGTTTTTCAGGAAATTTACTTTGAATAAAAGGAAAAGAAATCCTTTGGAGTTACCGCAAAAAATAAAAATTTTAAACAGACTAGACGCTGGTGAAAGTTCATTGGAACTAATGGCTGAGTTCAACATTAGGAAAGTCAACATTGGATGATATAAAATCTTCCAAAGAAACTATTCTCCCGCATTCATACTGTCAGTATGAATAAGGAAATAAAAAAAATGATTGTGATGAAACCTGGACTGAAATTGAAAAAGCTATTGAAAAGTTTATCAGTTTTATGGAAAGAAAGCCAGCATTCATCTATGACGATTGCAGTAACGCACTCAGAGTTTAAAAAAAAGTGTCTTTCGTTTAAAATATTCCAAAAACAAAAGTAAAACGAAGTGCGGAAAAAAGTTGAGACTGACATTAGAAGAGAAAGAATCATCATGCAACAGCGATTAATAAAATCCTTGTTACATTATTTGTTTTGCATACGTGGCATACTTAATTTAAAGAATTTTTATTAACATTACATTTTCTTTTTCTTAAAATCAATTCTGTTATATTTCACTCACCATTAGCTTATTTTGTTTACTATAAACCATTGAAAATAAATGTTAAACCTGATTTCAGTTCTTTTATTTTAATCTAAATATAACCCGGACTTTGTAAGCAATCCCTCATATCCGGAAGTCGTTCTTAGTCTGGTTGATATCAATTCTGTAACATAGAGATTCTACTATATTTTGATGTAAGTGGTACTAAAATATAGTCAATTTATTTATGACTTTTCATTGTTTTCTTTCATATTTTATGTCCTCCATTCCTTGAGTTCTTGCAAATGGTGATGGAAAATGACTGAAGTGTCATTTCAGGACTAATAACATAGTAAATCATCAGACTCCACAGACTGGCATTACAAAACCAAAGATCATTAACAAATAATAATAAAAAACGCATTTTAAAATCATTTCACTCGATGGAAGTCAATAAAAGCCACTAAGACATAGATGACTGTGAAAGGATATAATGACAGGAAGAAAAAAAAACTTAAGAAGCGAGAACAATAAAAGATCAGGATATAAGAAGATAAAAAATAACGGTTGGCATTGCATTTAAATTTTTGAAGATCAATGTTGACTTGAAAGCAACAAGCCGGGAGAGAGTTCCATCAAGTAAGAAATGTGAGAGAAGAAACTATTAACATAGAACCTACATCTAGCCATTTTAACTGTAAAATTATGAGACTTTGTTGCCAGTCTAGTACTGCGCTCAAATTCATAGAGTTGAGATATCAAAAAAGAAAGCTCATCAGAACGATTTCCATCAAAGCATTTAAAGAAAAGTCAGAGGGGACGACATTACGGTGGGGGAAAATGACTGAAGTCGAAGTGTCAATTCAGGACCAATAACATAGTAAATCTTTCTTTGGATTATATCAAGAATCTATAAATACATAGAAGCACCAGACCGGATATGACAGAAATATTCACTGCATATATATGAATGGTTGACTTATAAACGTGTAAGATAGATTCTGTCGAGCCTAGCTCAATACAATTGAAACAACTTTCCTAGCAGAAGATATATCAATTGATTCAACATAATCTTTCGACTTCATGCCAGCGGAAAAAAAGAAAGCGCAATGAGTCATTCACCTACAGGTTGGCATGAGACATGCTGATGGAATGTAAAAAAAAAAAAATTCTCTAAGACGAGTAAAAAAAGAGCAGTTTCATTTTGAAGGCGTTTAAATTAGCAAGCCATTTCTTGCTCCATTTAACAACAGACTGAACGTTGTCTTTGAGATCAATTGCTAATTTGACCTCATCGAACCGATTACATTTACCAGGAGTAAATAATTGTGTCATCAGCATAAATCACGTGTTGAGAACTGGTAGCCGTTTTTGAGAATTAGGAACAACATAAGTCCCAAAACCCTAAAAAAGACCCGGTATAATGTATAGTATAACGGTCGTATGATAATATTTTCGCTATTTTACCTTATTTTCTTTGATACTTTAATTCTTGTACGCAGACATAATGTATTCTTGGTTTGGTTTGGTTTTTGTTTTACGTTATGTCAAACTCAATGGGTTACTTAATGCAGACAAAATTTTATTGTTCGTAATATGCCTTCTTCTAAAATCTATTGCTGGTAATATTTTTAAAATATGTATAGCTGGTAATATTTTTTTTTCCAAAAATGTATTGCTGGTAAAAAAATTTTCTTCAAAAAATTATTACCCGCAATAAATTTATTGTGGGTAACAATTTTTTACAAAATTATATTGCCGGTATTAAAACCTATTTTTAAACATTTATAGTGTATTTGACCCCAGTTTGGAGGTCAAACACCTGCCCATAG